TGTGATTGGTTAGCTGGGCCAGTGTGTGTTGTGATTGGTTAGCTGGGCCAGTGTGTGCTGTGATTGGTTAGCTGGGCCAGTGTGTGTTGTGATTGGTTAGCTGGGCCAGTGTGTGCTGTGATTGGTTAGCTGGGCCAGTGTGTGTTGTGATTGGTTAGCTGGGCCAGTGTGTGCTGTGATTGGGTAGCTGGACCAGAGTGTGCTGTGATTGGTTTGCTGGGATTGTGTGTGTTGTGATTGGCAGCACTCGGCGCCTGGTCGGGAAATGTCACGGCCCTTACCATAGACGACTGCTGGCTTCAGTGTAAATATTGCATCAATATCAAATCAATTTGAGCGCGATTTAAACCCGGATGATTGTAACCACTCTAAGTTCGTCTGTCTTTGGAAAGCTAGCGTGTCTCCGACATAGTGATAACACTCGTTGCCTTCTCTAGTGCAGCTCAACCAGGTCTCGTCCCATTCGTCGATATTTATGATATCACAAATCCCGGAAAATATGCGTTGTAGTCCAAACGAGTCGTTCGTTGTAGTTTTTGAAAAGTGATTTCTGTTAAATAAAATATCTCCTTTTGAAGTGGACTTTGAGCTTTAACTCTGCAGATCTTTTTACAGCAGCATTACAGACTAACTAAAGTTGAAAAAGTGAAAAAACATAATAGGATCCCTTTAAAGCTTTGAATGAATGACATAAATTAGATGCATTTTCATAACTTCTTTCCAGGGAATTTAAGATCAAATCTGGTGAATGGTTTCTGGAACAGCAAGCAAAGAAATTTCCGGATGTCAGAGGTTTGTCTCTTTGCATTAGGTAATTGTTTCCAAATTAATTAAATCATTTCCAAATTTGTAAATATTATTACACGGCTCACTGTATTTTTACACTTGCATTCCTCAGCCAAAATGTTTCAATAATCATGGTTAATTGTATAATTGACCATTGTCTACACTGTCTACTATCCATTGATACTACATATGTAATGTATGTACATCAAACTTTCATATATTAAATATATTGTCATATAAAGTAAAAGCATATATGAAACCTATTAGAAATGAGAACAATTTTATATATTAACATCTATACCTAGCCAAAACAAATATATATGTTTATGTATGTGTAATTAACACATTTTGGACATATAAATTTTATGTATATGAAGCTCCATCCTTAAACCAGTCATTATATAAGTAAATAAATGTCATATATGATAATAAGTAAATATAAAAGATAAACATGCATACTACAAAACCATATATATATATATATATATATATATAAACATACAGATTTGTGCATATATGTAGCTTTAATAAAATTGCATATATAAATAAAATGTATATTGTTGACATATAGTTGTTATATATAAAAATCATCCTATGTTATAACATTTACATACAATATACTAATTTTACTATAGGGATAGAATATAGGGATATGTTTATAACACATATAACACACACACACACACACACACACACACACACACACACACACACACACACTTGATGGTTTGTGTGTTGAACTTAACTTGGAAGTAACCATGAATGTTGTCTTTCTGTATTGGTTTTAGAAAACAGTCATGAAACCATCGGAGACAAACTATTACAGTCTTATCAACGTCTCAGGTTGGAAACCGTCAAATATAGACCTTGTTATAATAATCAATATAATAATCACATTTACTTTATGACAATTCATGCTCTTTTTAATCAACGATTTCAAACTGTTTTTATGGTTATTATTTTATGTTTTAGCTTTATTGCAGTCGTGCCTCCAACTCCTCCTCCTGTTTATGAAGCCTCATCATATAACAGATTGATTCATTTAACAGAACAGGTGAAGACAGTAATATGGATTTTTTTTCCTTTGCATTTCTTCATCACCTAATAATGTGTTTGTGTGTCTTTGTGTTAAACTAGGACCTCAAAAAATCAAAGCCATTTACTAAATCTGTGGAGAACCTGATGGTGTCTGTCAGTGCTCACATAAAAAGTAAGAGAACAAAACAAGCCATCTCTATGTTGATTGTAATAACATTGTAATAACTCATATAGCCACAAGAGTGTCTACAGCAGCAGGATCCGCGATGTTTTGTCTTGTCCTGATGCTAGAGTTCTCCAAATCTCAGAATGATCTGAGTGTGGAAGCGGGTCAGCTGACCGTGGATCACGGACTGCTGCAGAACTCAAGACACAAGAGCCGATCAGAGAGTGCCATCAACAAAGCCAATGTAGGTCTATGCAGTATTGTCTACAAGTATTTGTATTGCAGTTCATTTCCTGTAATTCCCATTCAATGCCATGTGGGACGTGACCAATTCACTTCAAAGGAAGAGGAAAAGGTGTCGTCCTTCATTGCTGTTGTTTTATAAACGATCTAAATTTGAGACTGCACGATTTATCTGTCAAAACTAGTGCTGTCAAACGATTAATCGCGATTAATCGCATCCAAAATAAAAGTTTTTGTTTACATAGTATATGTGTGTGTACTGTGTACATTTATTATGTATATATAAATACACACCCATGTATGTATATATTTAAGAAAAATTGTACGTTTATATATTAAATATATTTATATTTATATTAAATGTAAATATTTTCAAAATATATACTGTATGTGTGTATATTTATATAGACATAATACATGTACACAGTACACACACATATACTATGTAAACAAAAACTTTTATTTTGGATGCGATTAATCGCGATTAATCATTTGACTGCACTAGTCAAAACTGTTCTTGATAAATCCACCTTGTTTTTCCAGCCAACCAGGTTTGACTTGAAAAAAGTGGGTAGATGACAATTAGTAACCATTGCCTGCTGTGTTTGAAATCTCCAGTGGTTCTCAACATTTTTTTATTTTAAGAATGCTTTAGCTAACGTTAACAAATGTGCTGCACATTGATAGTTACAGTATTCATTAATCTTTGTTAATGTTAGTAGTTAATGTTAGTAACATTTGTTAGTTTGTGTTATCTCATGTCAGTTAATATTAACTGATACACATTTTTATTTTAATAGTGTATTAGTACATTATTAAATGAATATTAAAGCAGCACTATGTAACTTTTGGCGCTCTAGCGGTTAATAAGAATAAAATGCCTTAGAAGTGTTTTTATTGTTTGAACTCTCCAGTGGTTCTGATTTTAAAGCAATTTTAGACACGTTTTTTATTCACAATTTGTACCCAGCAAAATACCTTTTTTAAACGTAGGTTTGTTAATTAACATTACGTTTACATTTGTTAACATTAGTTAATGCATTAGCTCACATTAAGTGACGTGACATGACATGTGGCCAAGAATGGTGACCCATACTCGGAATTAGTGCTCTGCATTTATCCCATCCAAAGTGCACACACACAGCAGTGAACACACACACACCGTGAACACACACCCGGAGCAGTGGGCAGCCATTTCTGCTGCGGCGCCCGGGGAGCAGTTGGTGGGCTCGGTGCCTTGCTCAAGGGCACCTCAGTCGTGGTATTGAAGGTGGGAGAGAGCACTGTACATTCACTCCCCCCACCTACAATCCCTGCCGGTACGAGACTCGAACCCACAACCTTTGGGTTATGAGTCCGACTCTCTAACCATTAGGCCACAACTTCCCCCGACTTCCACGACTTTAACCAAAAATGAGCAGCACATTTATTACAATAAATGTTAATTAACACAATGTTAGTTCATGCTCCGGTTCATTAAATAACATTAAAAGATACACCTAGTAATAAAATTGAAAATAAACATTAATTAATAAATGCTTGTTATTTCATGTTAACTATTGTCAATAAACGAAACCTTATTGTGAAGTGTTACCAATATTTCAAAAGTAGAAAAATGTATATTTATTATAAAAAAAATGGCCATTAAATTGTAAGTTTTCTAAAATGAGGCTTCCTCAAATACTTTCAAAAACTGTGGAAATCCTGGTTCTTCAAAGACAAAAACTGAATTGAAATAAGAACTATCATAACTTTCAGTTATTTTGTCTTAATTTACATAATTTCAAGTCATCTTGAGGCCCTCTGGGAGTTTGTTGTGACCCCCTAATAATCAAACCTTTGTGAGAATCACTGTTTTACTGTGTACGTTTGAAGGTTAATTTGAACTAAGAATGAGATTGACTAAACAATTGACATTAATGTGACGTCCTGATTGATTTTGTCTCCTCACAGCTGTGCAAAGCACCAAGTCTTCCCAATCTATCCCACAACAGCAGAGGCACAGAGCAGTATGCTTCAACAAGTACTCTTTACCTGACAGATGACGACGCTTCATATACATCCGCATACAGCAATGAGCAGAGGGTATGTATTCACACGATATTTAATCCTGTTTGATCAGATAACTGATGAGTGCAGATCTCTCAGGAAGCAAACTACCTAAGGTCTGCGAAATTCTGCAAGATAACTTTCTGCAAAAGAAAGATATTTGATAGCGCTTACAGGCTCATGGGGATGAGTTGTGATATTGTGTATTAATTCTCTCTCAGGACTTTGAACATCAACATAAAAAAGTGTAATGTTAATAAATAGGAATTCATTCAAAAACATGTTTTGTACAGGACAGCAACAGTAGCACAGGAATGGATTGTGGGATCTCTGAAAACACTAGTGTGACCGGAGAAGTAGAGGTTGCCTTCGGTTACAACAACAGGACGTCCTGTTTGGAGATAACTGTCAAAGCCTGCAAAAATCTGATGTTTGGAGATATGAAGAAGAAATGTCATCCGTAAGTTGTTTTGATGGAGTGCATGTTTGCTGTGTATTACAGATTGAACAATGTTAGCAGAACATTGGTTGCTGTAACGTATTTGGCTCATATACAGTTGGCCTAATAAGAAATTGTTTCTTTCTGAACAAACAGGTATGTAAAGGTCTGTTTGCTTCCAAAGAAATACCACGATTATAAGATGAAGACAGTAGTCAAGATGGGAAATAACCCAGTTTACAATGAAACCTTTACTGTGAGTATTTACAACCAGAATTTACTGGTAAACACTGTTTAAAAAAATACAATTAAAGTGTTATTGTAGTATCATAGTATTACACTTATTATTGTTTTGAAATTTTTCCAATTTAATTTGAGTTAGTTTCAGTTATTTTGTTGTATATTTTCTTAACTGCTTACACACATTTTCAAAACTCTGCCTTTAAAAAAAAAAAAACTTTACACACAAAATGCAAAATGCCTCACATCTCTTGCAAAATGAAACACTGCATGCAAAATATCACAAACACATCTCAAAACCAAACATTTGCAAACACCTTTGCCATAATATTAATTCCTGTTAGATTTTTGTGTGTTGCATAGAGAATTGTGTGTTGTGTTTTGCAAAAAGTGTTTCATGAAATTGAAAAGGCTGAGAATTAGCGTTTGGTTTTGCAGATTTGGTGTGTGGTTCTGGTGTTTGAGTGTCAGGTTTTAGAAATTGTGTGACAAAAAACAGTCTGACCTTTAATAATCATCGGAATACTGTAGTTTAATGGATTTTAATAATTCAATTTAATAATTTAATTTAATTTAATTATTATTTCTGCTTTGTTTTGTTTTGTTTTGCTTTGCTTTGCTTTGCTTTGCTTTGCTTGACTGGTCATTTTGGTCTCTTCTGTTGAAGTGTCCCTTTGCCCTAAATGCCTTGTCTTGTTGTGGCATTATAACTCAAATTTATAAGAAAAGCAGTAGCTTTATTATTATTGTTGTTGTTTAGTTATTTTTAATTGTGACATTTAATTTTTTTTAGTGTGTATTAAGTCATTTTAAATTGAATTCAGCTGTATTTATTTTAAAGTACTATTTATTTATTTACACATTTATTTTTAATTTGCACAGATAGAAATGCATTGAAAGTATGACTATATTTTGAGGTTTTTGTGTGCTGAACTGTTTGGTGTGTGTTTGCAGTGTGTGGTTGCTGCTGAGCAGCTGGGCAGCAGTGTAGTTCAGGTGTCAGTGTGGCACTGCAGGGGACTCAAGCGGAAGCTCTTTCTGGGCGAGACGCTCGTCCGTCTGGCTGACTTGTGTCTGGAGAGCACAGACACTCAGCGCTCTGTCTGCTACGCACTCGGTCCAAAGGTAAGATCAGTCAGACTGGACTGACCTCATTAGAACATTATGAAATTTTCTGCTCTCTTCAAGTGCTTTTTAGTTGTATAAGACAATTTCTAAAATTGCATACATCTGCTCATGTTCTGAGGTATATCTGCTGAGCTTGTTCTTTCATAGCAGGGTTATCCACTAGGTGGCGATGTCGAGCTGCTGCTTAAAGCTCAATTCCAGTTCCTGCCACAGACTTGCCCACATACAGCCGGTATGAGACTAGCACTCCATTACACATTGTCAGCCAGCCCAGAATAGGACTATGAATGACTGTGTGCGAATGATTCAAAGACTGTCTTTTCTGGGCTTTGTTCTATATTAAGTGCTCATTATAAATGCAAGTTCAAATGTATTTAAACGTATATTAGGCCTATTTCAGAATAAAAACATAAGTGTAACTACTCAATCTCTACAGACCTTTTGATTGGAGCAGCTGGACAGCTCAAAGTCGTCATCACTGACGTGTCGAAGCTGCGTTTTCTGTCAAAAACAGCTTACATTGAAGGGTGAGTGGACAACTGTGTGTAAGAAGCCCATGTCTGAAGTAGTTCCAATACACTTATATAAAGAACAATGTTATGGTCGCAAAACTAGGCATAAGATATTAGATTTTACTACAAATTATAAAGGAGTTTTAATGCACAATTTTCTGCTAAGCTGTAATTTAATGTTAACATTTTAACATTATATATATATAATGTTTTATATATATATATATATATATATATATATATATAACTGAATCAAAAATGACTGTGAACCTGCAGTCTCCTTTCCACAAAAATGTAAATGTTGTGCCATAATCTGAAGGCATATATGGCCCATTACTTGATGTGATGTGCATTAATTGGGTATTAATGTCTTCCCAGAATCCTTTGCCTTCCTGGAGCTCGAGAGCTGGTGCAGAGAAGTCCAGCACTGAAGAAGACTGCCGGTTCTGTCCAAATGAACTTCAGCAGACTGACGCGTCAGGAGCTCCAGCAGGCCACGCTGCAGCTCAACCTGTGGGAGAAAAACACCTTCATCCTCACTGACCGTCTACTGAGATCAGCACGGCTGGCCGGAGGTGAGCTCCACACACAAAACAGACATTAAAAGCAGCTTAGGATTTTTACAGTAAAACTTTAACACCTAAAGGTGCGTGAAATGTATTTAAAATGATGTACACTCACATGAGATCAAGCCTCCAGTCATAAATGATTGACGTCAGTAGTTGTTTTTTGCATCTATAAATGAGCACCAGTAGAAAAATAATGTGTCTGCACACTCACAAACACAAAAAAAATATGGGCTTTTATGTCATCCTGTCTTATTTTGGCAGAATCGTCATGGCAACGTCTGCAGCAGATGCCAGGAGAGTGGCATGACTTCCTTCTTCCATTTCATGCAAATGTCAGCACAAGCATGAGGTCATAACTGAAGAAGGTGGATCCTTTCCATCAACCCACAGATCCTGGCGAGTGACAGTTGTGTTTACAAGCTCAATCCTGACAAACCAATGCCCAGATCGTCTTTAAAGTGCCTCATTCTTATCTCTTTAGACATGAACTGTTTTCTGTGTTGTTGCTTTATACAGTATATTTTATATTCATCATTTCATAACTTATTTAATAAATTAAATATTTCCACAAAGGCAGCATGCGGTGCAGTATTCTGTTTTTAAATAAACACACCCAGATCTGTTCATCATAAATCTTTATTTCTAATATAATAAACACCTTTTAGGGGAAAATAAATAAATCCAGTTGTCAAGCTTGATAATAGTCACACTTTAAAATGTTAACCCAGGGTCAACTAGTTCTTAACCTGGGTTAGTTACTAGATTCATAACCCAGGATTAAAAACAATGTTAAGCCCTGTAAAAACACTCCTCATCTGCCACTGGATGGTAGTGCGTAGTGTGAAAAGCTTATTTGTGTATGGATGACATCAAGTAATATTTTAAACATTAAAACAGCTCATTTTGATGGTGGAAAATCAAGAATGAATTTAAGACTTTCAGCCTATGTACAAAACCCCCCCCAAAAAAAGCAACAACAAAAATACTATTCTATTTGTATGAAAGTGGCACCACATGGTTACAGGCATCACAGAAACAATTTACTAAATTGTCATATTCGCCCATTTGTATGTCACTCAAAAAACTCCATTCTTCTGTTGGATATATTTTACATTTGGTCCCACCAGCAGAGTAAAGGTGTCTTAACACTACCTGATTTGTGCTATTTTTAATAGTTTTAATTAAAATATGAAGAGCTGCTAGCAAGTCCGTGAGAAACTCTGCTCACAGATCCACGAACACAGCATATATCAAAATCTCAATATATCAAAAAATGTAGATACCTACTGAGATTACAAAAGTCTATTAAACAAATCTTCCTTCATCCCACTGTCATGGCAATAAACATTCAGTAACTAGTTCAAAGTCATAAAAAAAATCAGTTTGTATCTAATGTAGGAAATCTAAGGATTTAACATGCATTTGAATATATATATATAAAAGTATAACTTACAATATTAATCTCTTCAAAAAAGGAATCATGACAGGTCAGTACAGAATTCAATAAACAAATGAATCTGCACTGTCATTAGTAAAGAAGAAAAGTACATCTACCCATAAACCTTAAATAACCCAAAGACTGAATAAATAAACACTATAACAAGTATTCTGGCAAAAGCCATATTCAACATGAATTAAAGAGTTTTAATATCAGACAAAACATAAAATGAACCATACTGCCAAGCCCTGTGCTGAGTGGATCATTAATACGAAAAAGGGGGAGAAAAAGTACCACTTATCACAACCCAAAATTAATTAAAATGATGTTTTGGCCAGATTATTGAATTACTAACATATATTTAACAAAAGGAGGATGCATTGTTGGCACGTGTTTAAATATCATTTAGCTTCATATTTTTATGGCAAAAGCAGATTTATTTCAGTACATTCTGTGAAATTGGTAACATTTTACAATAAGGCTGTGTGTGTTAACATTATTTAACACAATTAACTGAGCAATGTGTTAATGTTTATGGCTACATATACTGTATAAACAAACATTAAAAGTTATCACTAATTAGCACTGCAAACAAAGAATGAACCAATGACCAAACATTAATAAGTGATATTGTTCATTGAAATTGTATGTTGATGATTCCTCATACATTAAATAATGCTACAGTACAGAACCTTACTGTAAAGTATTACCGTGAAATTCAATGTACACCACTAAGGGGTAAACATGTGTGTCAAAGTGTGCAGTTTTTTAATAATTTAGTTTTTAGTGTGTGTTGAACCAGTGTTCATGTCAAACGAATCAAATCTGTTGCATTACTGTGTGCGCACTTATGTGCTTTTGTACGCAGGATGTGCCTCTTGCATTGACCACTCAGACGTAGGGACAGAAAGAAAATGGACAAGGGCTTTGAGACTCCTTTCCTCCTTCCCTCCCTCCCAAAGTTTCCAGGTCCAGATATTTTATAAGGCCTCAAACTCATCAATCCTCTGTTTAGTGTTGCCCTGGCGAATCTGCCGGAGAGTTTTGTATTTGTCTCGGCCGACGCGCACGTTCTCTGTGTGCAGCAGGTCGTTCTGAGTCTTCTTGGTGTCGTCACGAGCCTGGGACAACTCTGAGGTCAGAGCCTGTAAAGAAGATAATGTCAGCGATTTAGTGATGCTTCTTTGATCCATGACTGAAGAGAGCGATAAGAGCTGAATCCATGTGATTTCGCAGAAAAGGACTTAAAACAACAAAGTCATAACCCTACATCCTCATGTAGGATACATTTGCATTAACAACCTAGAACAACATTGCTGTTCAGGCCTAACCCAATGTAAGCCCCTAAACCCATTCAGAACAACTGGATATCTAATTGACAACATCCTCCGATTTAGGTTAGGAATGTGTTATGGTTGGGTTTTGGGGGAGGGATAGTGTTTGAACGGTTTTGGGATAATAGTGTTTGGACTGTTTCATAGTAATGTTGTTTTAGCACAGTATGTTATTTCAGGAACATGACCTACTTGGCAAAATCACATCAACCATTCCTAACCCTAACTGTTGACTAACCCTGCAGGCAGAGGGAAATTATGGGTTTGTAAGTCAAGCTCCAAGCCCAAGCCTAAATCCTAAGAGCCTAATCCTATTTCCAAAATCTGTTTGGTTGATAAGAGTGTTGCCCAGGACCAACAAAGATCTGTTAGCAGTACCACAGTAATCATATGAGACAACCTGATGAACCAAAGTAGGACATGTTTCATGTTTATAGGCATCCCTGGGGCTAGACACCTAACGATTCCGGTCAACCAAGAAAAGCTCTAGGTCTAACCAACCCTAAACCGAACCCCAACATTCTCCTAAAAAGAAAGGCAAATTGCTAGTAGATGTTTTTTTGGGGAGCAGGGGTTAATCATTCCTACTCACAGAGAGCTATATTAGCCACTTTCTGACATGCAGTAGCTCCAGTACTCCCCGAGAAGGCCTAGAGCCAGGAAAAGTGGACCCGAAGAGATTTTGTTCTCTTGCATTTGCACCTACAATGGGAACCCAGCTATGATAGAGGATGGCAGAATCAGAGCTTTTGTTGGTTTTATGTTATTGACATGGGAGTTGGAAAGGCAACGAGATAAATCAACTACCAACTTATGTGCAAGTATTTACTCAATCAATTCCTGATTAGTTCCTTCAGTGGGAGAGGGGCTATTCCTAGTTTAGCTTAGCTTAGTTCCAAACCTGCTTCAATGCATCCTAGATTTAAGTTTTAAGTAAAACCAAATATCTTGATAAGCTGGTTCAGGGACTACTACACAACTAAACTCTGCAGGAAAGTGGATCTCCATGAGTCAGAATGAGTAACCCTGTTCTAGACCCTTAACCTAAAATCAGAAAGCAATGACAGGTTATAGGAATGTTGTATAGGACAGGGTTATTCAACCCCGCTCCTTGAGACACACTGGACTGAATTCAGGTCCAACCCTAATCAAACACACCTGAACCATCTAACCAAGGTGTTCAAGATTACTTGGATCCAGTTGAATACCCCTGATCCAGGACCAATAAGGTCTTATAAGACGTTACAGGAAGGTAGCTCTCTGGAGCGCAGGAACAGTTTAGTTCCGAAGCAAACAAACCTGGTAAAGACCTTGATTAGTTGGCTCACTGGTGTTGGACTACATGAAGGCACTAGAACAGGGATGTCAAACTCACTGTCCTGCAGAGCTTATCTCCAACCCTAATTAAACACACCTAAACAGCTGATCAAGGTCTTCAGGATTGCTATAAGCTTCCAGGCAAGTATTTTGAATCTGGTTGGAGCTACACTATGGAGGACACTGGCCCTTTAGGAGTGGAGTTTGACCCATGCGCATTGTGCACTAAAAGAACCAAACTTTACAGGGGCTATATTACAGAAACACCCTTATTCTAGAATACCATCTTATTTGTTTAGTAGCCATGGTGATTTCAGGTAGGAACACACTGGAGTCAGATCTTAACTTAAAACTTAAGGAAGTATGAAATCCAACCCTGCCCTCAGAGGGCTACCATCCAGCACAGTTATGCTGCGTTCAAGTCCTCCTGGGACATTCGTACTTACGAGTTGACAAGTCGTAGTTACGCCGTCAGGTGCGTTCAAGTCAGTTTAGTCGGCACAAGATGGCGGTGTACCTTCTTTTAATAAATTACAAGAAAATACAACAGGGTCTGCATTTTTTTTTACTTGGATTTCAGCTGCGTAACAAGAACATGACCAATTTAAGCTTATAGGACAACTAAACTATCAATTTAAACAAAAATTTAGCGTCAACTACAGACGTTGCATCCATTGATTCCGCCATGTTTCTCATTGACACGCCCCAACTCGGAATCTCTGGGCTTAAAGAAAATTTCGAGTTTCCCACTCGTAATCACGACTTTGTGGTGGCGTTCATGTGCGTTCAACTCGTAAATACGATCTATCCGACATGACTTGAACGCACCATTAGCTCTAACTCTTAATCCAACACACCTGGACCGGCTAATCAAGGTGTTCAGGATTACTTGAAAATAACAGGCATGTGTGTTGGAGCTAAAGGTAGCTTTCCAGGAGCAGGGTTGGCTACCACTGCCTAAAGCCCTAAACCAGGGATCCTCAAATCTGGCCCACGAGATCCACTTTCCTGCAGAGTTTAGCTCTAACCCTAATCAAACACACCTGAGCATGCTAATCAATGTCTTCAGGATCATTAGAAAATCACAGGTAGGTGAGTTTGATCAGGGTTGGAGCTAAACTCTGCAGCGCATTGGCCCTCCAGGGCAAGATTTGAGGAACCCTGCCCTAAACACACTGCACACTTTTCAGCAGTCCCAGATGAAAGATTGGCATCGTGAAACAATTGTGGCGATTTCTGTGATCGTGGCTCCTAATCGGCAGTCCTGTGTCGTACAGTGAGAAAGGTTCAAAGACGGCTGTTCATCTTTGGTCTTGCGATATAGCCCATGATGCAGCATGATCACTGCACAGTGTGTTTGCTGCTACAATCCACGTTTACGGACCAACCAATAAAAATACGACATGGCGCTAAAACATAAAACTGCTTACCTCAAGCTCTTATCCCTTCCTCTTTCGCCGCTTCCACTTTTTTTCAGCACACATAAAAAAAATATAACTGCTAAGGTGTGATTTATCATGGTCTTTTTTTTTTTTTTTTTTACCACTAGCGCATGCTGATGACGTTTAATTTTTTCTATAGTAACGTCGTATCGTACGAGTCAACAGGTGTCCTCATCGTACAGTCTACACACACATCGTAGCCAAGTTTATTAAGTCCATGTCGCACAGTGTGACATGCAGTGATCTTATAGGATTGCTAAAATTGTGCAGTGTGTTTCGGGCTTTAGGCTCTAATCCTGGAGCCTAGGAAAGTTCACCCAGTTGCTCCTGCAATGTTATACTTACCAACAGCTGTTTCTGAACTCGTTCATTCTTCTCGGCCTCAGTGATTCGCTGTTCTTCGTAGCGGTGGTCATTGATACCGCCTGTCTGCAGGTCTGCACTGTAGCTACTGTTGCTCTCGCCATCTTCGTACTCATTCTCATCAGGTTCATATGCAGGTGGTGGTGGAGGGAGAGGCGGCGCCGTCATCACCATGTGAAGCTCCTCACGGGTCTTCACCAGGTCATCTTGGGCCTCTTGTGCCTGGAAGAACGCAATCCAACACCACAAATATAAGACTACCAATCCAGTTCTTGAAGAATTTAAGAGTGCACTACAGCTATGGATATACAGACAGCTTTCGGACAAATTTGCAGGAATGCAAACTCATCAGGGGTGAAAAAGGTGACGGGGTTAATGTCTTAACGGTCTTACTCTGTGCTGCCATGTCATGGCTTCCTCCTCCTTGCGTTTTTTGGCTTCCTCCAGGAGTGCAATACGAGCAGTATGTTCTGCCAGCTCAGCAGCCTGAAAGAGATGAATGGGGAGGATTGTTAATGGGGGAAAAAATGATAGACAAAGTAATTTTTCAGAGAAAGAGTGTTGGGTTCTCACCAGCTGTTCTTGACTCGTCAGCTGATTCTGGGCTTGACGGGCCAGTTCCTCCTTTGCGAGCAGTGCTGCCTGCCTTTCTGCCTCCAATCTGGCTGCCTCCTCCTCTGCCAGCCTCCGTTCACTCTCCAGCTGCATGGCCCTCTGCATTTGCTCCTGCAGGTCTGAAAACACGCATCCAGATTTAATTTAAAGTGCAACCATCATTACATTTCAAGTAGGGGTCTGGGCCTCGCTGTGGATGGTGATGCTCTAACAGTTACAGATCTGGGAGATTAAAAGGGTCATGAACTAAGAAACCAAAATTCCCTTGATCTTTTGACACATAAGAGGTCACTGTACTATAAAAAGTTTCTGTACTGTAAGTTTCAGAATTCAACACGTTCTCGTTAGTTTAAAAACAGCGTATACTGAAGCCAGTCAGCCAAAAGGACAGGTTGTGGAATGTGCCACTCTATGATGTAATAGTGTGGCTAAACTCCACCTCCACAGAAGATAAACGCCTGCTTCTACATCGCTGCCTGTTTAGCCCCGCCCAACGATTCCCACATGTATTGTAAATAACGAGAGAGTTTGACGCAGGTCTATGCAGAAACCAAATGATAAAGATGGCTCTGAAGGCACAATTCGGTGGGGGATTTTCAGAAAGATTGAAACTAAGACGATGCTGTGCCGAATATATTGGACCTGACAGCAATGTTGCACCACACAAGTGTGAGTAACTGTTTTTATTACGTGATCACTATTGCTTTGTCTATTATTACATATCATTTGATATGTACTGAGTATTTATGCGTTTTTAACCTAAATCACAGCAGCGTATATCTGTGAAGGATGAAGGCTGTCAAACATACACAACTGTTATCCAATCAGAGCAGTGGGTGTTTACTTCTGAGTCTACAATCCGCCACGCCTATTCAAACAGAGCGTTCTGATGAGGGGGTTAAAAACAGGACAGAAAATAGCCTATTACGTCTAAATTATGTTTTTTTTTTTGGTGTAAAAATCTTGATAACATTATAAGGGGACCTCAGAAAACAGTGCAAAATAATAAAAAAGGCAGTTGATGACCCCTTTAATCAAAAGATTTCTGGTCTGATACAAGACAGTTGCGACCAAGTTATGTTTTAGCACTTTTGCTTTAGCAAAGAAGTTTTAGTCCTTGTAGGCTATTCTACTTTGAATTCTACTTTGAAGGGAAAATCTTGAAGGGAAATCTTTCAGCATTTACTCAAACACTGATATGACCTTTATTTCATGGAACACCAAGAGAGAATTTTAGTAAATGTTCATGGTGGTTTTTTCCCTCCATACAATGAAAGTTGATGGGAACCAAGGGCTGTCAATCTCCAGAAAGACCCAGTGAAGCATGATTAAAGTACTTATGATTCATGCACTATATTCCAAAATATGTGAGGCTGTACAATAGCTTTCTGTGTCGAACAGTTGATATTCACTGAACTCTTGTTTGACAGCGGTGGACACCATTCACTTTCATTTTATGTATAAGAGAAGACCTGATGAAAAAGGCAGAAGTATTGTGTCATATTGTGACAGAGCTCATTATCGGACATTCAGAAAGCTTTGTTGGACTGTGTATAGTCAGAGATGGCTGATGGTTTTAGCATGCATGGCCACAAGATTCAGTAACATTTAATCCAGAATAACAACACATAGATTACTGTGTTCACATATTACTAATTTCTGAATGAAAAATTCCTTGTCTAATAATGTAGTCTTATACTGAATATCAGAAAGGCAAGCTTTATGGCAAACACAAAAGAAATATGACATGCGAACAGCAGAAACAGAGTAACAGGTGCAGTATGACACCATCTTGTGTTTGTATTGCCAGTCAATGGTATTGTCAGCTGGAGCACAGTCATGATCAAAGTATATTGTTTCTGCTTTATAGAATAACAAGCTAAAAGGTTACATAAACTCAAAAGACCAAAGTGACCAAAATTATGAGTCAAATTTTCCATACGGACTCATGGCACAACAACAAGCAAAACAACAGTCACAATGATTGTTAGATTTTAAAAACTATAATCTATAGTGTGTTGTTTAATAAAACTAAATACTGACCGTTAAAATTACATGCCTTTTCTAAAATAAAATCAGATAAAGCTTTACATTTTCCTCAGTCAAAATTCAAATGTTGACTGTTTTATTTGCTTATGTGAATGCAGTCAATAAATACAATCATCTTGCATTAGACATGAAAATATTTTAAATCAAAAAATATTTTTTTTCTTATGATATTTTTTCCAAATAAAAGCAAACACGCTGGATCCTGGCTTCTTACCTTTTTCCGCTTTTTTGGTCTTCTCCTCAAACTGGTAGAGTCGCATCATCAGCTCTTGTTTCTCCCTCTCCATCTGCTCTTTCTCTCTCTCTATGGCCTCTCGTCTCTTCTTCTCACTCTCCAGCTGAGCTCTGCAGATAAGACACAACCAAAGAGAAGTACAGTGACGTTTGCTCAGGACGCCACTCTATACCCACACACAAAACTCATCTCTCATACTGACCTTCCCAAGGTGGTCATAGTTCCTTGAACAGCTGCAAAAACAGCTTGTTCAGAAATCTTTATGGTTTCCTGATGTTACAACCATGAGCAGATTGACAGGACCACTCATGTTTACATATCAATGTCTATTCAGTATTCAGCATCTTGGCCCACCCTGATCAGCAGCAACATGAACTTTGATCAGCCAATCACAACAGAGATCATTTATATATAAAACTGTTTAAATGCCAGCCATTTGGAAAGTAATTTGCAGCAACAAAGTAACTGGAGTTGACTAAAGGCAAAACAAAAAAACAAAGGCAAAACAAAAACAAACAAACAAAAAACCAACACAAAATAAATATTACAAAAATGAGCTAAAATAAATTCATACCAGGCTTTTGTGAAATAAGATGCTACGTGTAGAATATGGTGTAAAATATGGTCAAACAAACAAAACAAAACAAAAAGAAAAGCATAAAGATAAAATAAAATAAGCGTAGAATATAGTCAAAACAAATGAAAAAAAAAAAAGAAAACAAACAAAAAAAATCATCAAAATAAACTAAAATAAATATTATAAATGACAAATTCAATTCAATTCATACCAGGCTTTGCCAAGCCAAAGATTCTAGTTTACTAAACTAAACTAAACTAAACTTCATACCAGGGACCTGTTTCATAAAACCAGTTTACCAAATAAGCCAGGCTTATTTCAGTTATTCTGACTTATTGTCACTTGATTTGGTTTCCGAAAGCAAAATTACCATAGCTCAAGCTCAGTCACTGTGGCAACTTATGCTGAGAAACTAACCTGGTCAGGAGCAGACTAACTGTTAGAAGCTGAGCTCCTCAAATACTGACCAATATGAACGCATCGATATTACCACTGACTCGCTCACATACAATTGGTTGACTTTATTATTAGTCCAAAAATAAAAGTAGCTACACAGAAAATGCAACTTAAATAATCAAATAAATAAAAAAATATAGGCTACAACCAACTGTATTTAATGTCTTGTGCCCAAAATGCAATGACCTTTTTTTAAGATATGAAAACATTTTAACACCATTGCTACATGCGCATTCAGTTGATCAGCAGTTTCTAGCCATGCAGCCTTTCTCTCTGATTTTATGACAGCTGTGCCTTTATTAAAACATTACAATCTAAAATTGCTCTTTAAAAGCATTAAAAACACTCAATTAAAACTTAAAATCACTGAATTAAAAATGAAAATAAATAATAGAAATCAGATTACATTTTAACTGATAAGAGGAACACACATTTAACTCATTTGAGCTAGTAGGGCTGTATTAGCCAGCTTACATTTGATTTACAGTTACTGCTATCATAAAAATACACTTATATATAGGATAAAAATTCTACTTGTGTCACATTTAATGCCTAACAACAAATATTTTAGCAGAATGTATATTTTATTCAGAATTATTGCGCTATTATTCTATTCTGTGCCGTCTGTATAGCGTGCATGCACTCAGCAGAACTCGTTCACTCGCGTAAGCCTTGTCCACTCCTGACAGCAAAATGGATATATTTGCATGACTTTCTACCATTTACAGATGAAAAATATACCTGTGACATGTCAGTTATGCACTGAGGAAAACACAACATCTCAAATGCATTAAACAGCACAAATATGTCTCGCTGTTTGCCATGGTGGATCGATTTGATCCATGATCGACATTAAGAGCTGCTTAAGATTAAGCGTGCACATCAAATTATCCTGACTCACTGAACCTGGATCGAATTAGTGAGATTGCGTGAACTTAAATTGTCGTTTATGAAACTGCTTTAGTCCCGATCGATTTGTTAGGTTATTTCAAGCCAGGTCTTGGACTTTAATCCCCGCTTTTCTTAGCGTCTTTTATGAAACAGCCCCCAGGTTTATTTCAGTTAGTCTGACTCACTGTCAGTTGATTTGGTTAAAAATAAGTCAGACTAACTGAAATATGCCAGGCTTATTTGGTAAACTTGTTTTATGAAACAGGCCCCAGGCTTTGCCAAGCCAAAGTTTCTGTGAAATAAGATGCTAAGTGTAAAATATGGTGTAGAATATGGTCAAACAAACAAAACAGAACAAAAAACAAAAACAAAATAAGTGTAGAACATGGTCAAAAAAAAAAAATTAAATTCATACCAGGCTTTGCCAAGCCAAAGTTTCTGTGAAATAAGATCCTAAGTGTAGAATACGGTGTAGAATATGGTCAAACAAACAAAACGGAACAGAACAAAAAACAAATAAAATAAAATAATTTATACAAGGCTTTGCCAAGCCAAAGTTTCTAGTTATGAAATAAGAGGCTACACAAGTGTAGAATATGGTCTTTTATATACCGCAGCATCTGCTGATGAGACAGCATCACTCCTCACATCACTATGGTGATTCATCCTCACCTCTCCATCTGTTTGTGTTGTTTCTCCTCTCGAGCCTGTGCTTTCATCTGCTGCACCTCGATGGTGTCCGGCTTCCTGCGGCGCATGTAAAGCTCATGGTTCCCCATACACAGCTGTAGGATACGTTTATTAATGCGCAACCGCGGGGCGTAGAACACAAAATCCTGCAGGGTTAAGAAGGAAGAGACAAGATGTAAATGCAGGGGTTACAAATCAGTCAATTTATGGATCTTTGACCAGATTACTAACTGTGTATTTATTTAATAAAGTCCTGTGATAATGTAAATGTAAAACCTACAGAAAGCTGTTGTTCGGAGCAGCTGGATCTGACGCTCAGAGATAACGCTCTATGAAGGCCAGACTGTCAAGAGGAGACTGATTGCTGGTGTTTATCAGCCAAAACAGCCCTGCTAAAACTAATGACTCTTAACTGTAAAACTGCAGACGTTACAGTGATTTAGTGTTTGTGTGTCAAAACAAAGCTGAAGCATCCCTAGAGAGCATCTTTTCAAGGTTTTTTGAGTGTCACATTGCAGTGTCGTTCCAGTAATAGTTATACACTCTAATAGTATTTATAATAGTGTTATGCTGAAAATCCTTAATCTAATTTGTTGTTCCCAGTCAAAATTGGCCAGCCTTTTAAAAATGATCACTAGATTTTGTATCCAAAATGTAATCCTAGATGTTCTAACATTAGTGTGACATAAGATGATCGTATATTAGGGTGGAATAAAACAAGCTTTATTCTCGCCGAGGCAGTTTTTCAGTTTCAGGTGGGACTGTGAGGTATGAAGGCAGCTCGTGTCGCAATCATAGTTTCACTTACTGGAGCTTTTTTATCTATAGGCTTGATGGCAAACTTCTTATCGTTGAAGGAAATGTTTCTTATTTCGCTCCAGGGGAATCCAATTTTCGGAGTGAGTCTGTAAAGACAATGATGAAACAATGATAAGTGTTCTATATTCATTCCAAACATACAGTCACGCAAGACAAACACTGTAGGGTGGATGAAACATGAAAACCCTATTTGAAAAACGTGGATGACAACGATCAGATCTCTGGTTGCTGATCGAGCAAAAATCTAAATATTAGCACCGAGATGGGTTTGTAATGCAGTGAGAATGTTGTAGCACAGGCATGATGGTCGAGGAATGTGAAGACAAGGACGGGCCTGTGATTAACGTGAGCGGATGACTTCGTCGCAGTGAGGAGTGTGCCGTGTGATCTCTTTGTGGAGCTCATGGGAGTGGCGTTACAACTACGCCTTCTAACGTGCATGTCACACCGTCTCGGTGCGTAGCTGAGAGAACACAAAGCTACCGCGGCCCACCTCGCTTGACACACCACAAACGTTCCCTAAAACCAAATGGTTAAAATAATTAATGATGGTAATAAAAATGGTATGTAACATTGTAACTCATTCAATTGTTCTTTTTTATTTTTATTAAATAATCTTTACAAAAAAAAGAAATTCATAGTGCTAACCATATTTTAACAGTAACACTTTACAATAAGGTCACATTAGATAACATTAGTTATTGCATTAACAATGAGCAGTACCTTTGTTGCAGTATTAATTCATCTTCACATTCATTCATCACATTCATTCATTGTTAACTAATTCCCATTAAATATTGTCCACAGATACAACTTTTGATTTGAATAATGTATTAGTAAATGTTGAAACTGACATAGATGAATAAATGCTTTAGAAGTATTTTTCATTGGCTACGTTTACATGCTAATTTTTGGTTCAATCGGACTGAATTCATTCCGATTGATGAATCTGAATGTAGTGTTTACAATGCACGCTAAATAAAGTGATTGGGTTGATGTGCACGTTTATATTTCACAAGCTTCAAATTGGAATGATTTTTTTTTTGACATGCGCACACTGCACAAATATAGAGTTTCTCACTGTTTGCACATAATAACCACTCTCCTACATGGTTTCTTTATTTGTTTTTTAACAGCAGAATTAATATTTATCCATTTATGGATAAATATACATATAAACCGCTGTGCCGTGCTGCTCATATTTATCACGCAGTAAAAAAGCCCCTCCCCGCGCCCAAAACAGGTTGCCTGTGGATGAGAATCCAAAACAAGGACTGGTGGGAGGTCGTCCTGCTCCACTTCACAGTTGCCGAGTGAAAGGAGAGTTTTATAATGACAGGACACACATTTATACAACACTTTATTCAAAAGGAAGAACCGCTCGTTCCGCGAATCATACGTCATTACGCTATTTCTGCGTCATTGCACATGTGCAGTGCTTTCGGTTTCGGGGTTTAATCCGATCGAGTGTTTACATGCACTCTCAATCGTATTAGAAAAGGAATAAACCACCCCCTTCAATCCGATCGAAATTTCATTCCGATCGAGGTCAATCGGATCGATTAAGGCGTTTACATGAAGGCTTTTCAGTCCGATTGAGCCGTCAATCCGATTACAAATGGATTATTTGGTTGCATGTAAACGTAGCCATTGTTAGTTTAACTAATGCAGTTAACTAATGTGATCTTATTGTAAAGTTCTACCATTTAAACAATTGAAGCAAATATTGTAGTTTAAATGTACTACCACTACTACTATTAATAATAATAATAATTCAAAATCCTTTTCCATTGAGATTCCATGTTTTAATGTTTTATATTTGCAACTATGGCATTTTGGTGGTACATTTTATGGTACGTTTACAGGGTATGGCAGTATAGCAAAAGCGGATTTATTCATCAAAAGGCTAGCATGATGATTTTTATCTGTGTTTTGTGGTATGTGTCTATGTTTGGTATATCGCTGGTGTGGTCAAAGACAATCATGGTTGATAATGAAGATGTATTGTATTGCATTGTATAGAATACAACACGACTCTTGACAGTTTCATTTTTCCTATCATATATTTTATAGCATTTATATTATTTTAAAGAGGCCATAGTTTTTGTCCTCGTAGTGCTATGATTGTACATTTGGTCTATAAAATGTTTATGAATACAGCTCCAGAAAGATTGTTGTGTGACTTGGTCTAGGTGGAACAGAGCTGCTAAAACATGCTTGCTTAGTTTTTCCTCTTGTGGACAGAAGGCATACAACATTTTTAATAGATTATTCTACCTTTTAAATGAAGGAAAATGCTAAATTGTATTAGAATAAAAATACATTTTATATTATTAAACAATTATAGGTTCAATTATAGGTTTATTTTAAGGTGTCCTTGTTATACTGCAATTACACAAATAAGTGCCGAGTAATAGTAATTAACAACATATACTTACTATATAGGATTAGGTCTGGTTTACGGTTAGTTGCTTGTAATTATGCATAATTTACTGTTATTACTATAGAAAGTACATGTAAAATGTGCAACAAGGACACTGCAAAATAAAGTGTTACCCAATTATCTAATAATAAGAATGGTAATGCTTTTTTAAAGATTAGAATTCTACAAATCTTGTTTGTTCTTTCTTCAAGTATTTACTGTTCTAACATTGGTTTGATGGGGATAATGGAAAAAGAAAGAAAGTAAACAAAAACACTTTGTACTGCATTTTGGCATTGACTATTACATTTTCCATCACTTCTCATAGCGTTCAGTGTTAAACTATGACTACATGCTTTTGGAGACTGGCATGTTGTCAGTTAAGACAGTTAATCTGAAACAAATGTGAAGGATATGGGCCACCCAGCAGAACGAGCACAGCTAACGCAACAACACAAACGAAGATCCAACGAATGTGAACTATTTCACAGGTCGTTGTGCAACATGGTTTTCTTATCTTTACATTTGTGTACTTGCAAAGCCTTCTCTCGGTCACATACACAATCCTTGCCCAATGTTTTCAAGGACTACATAGCTTGAAAAACCAGTCTTTGTTGCTATGGTTAAAATAGAGGGCATTGTGGGGAAAAAGCCATTAAAAAGCCACTGCACTTACGTACACACACACACACACACACAGATCTCTGTTTATGGAAAGACGAGCACCTGTGAACAATGTCCTCAAACCAAACTAAATCACAACACATGCAATTTGGGGGAAAAAAAACCCCCAAAAAACAATCATACCACAATCATACAGTACATATTAGGATTACAATCTTATACCATTATTTTACCATAGTACTGCCACAATGCATTTAAAAGAAGAGAAAAACACGTTGGAGTTGAAATAGCACTTGAGATGTGAATAATGTCAAATGAATGTAGGGAAAGGCTGAACTCACTTGTCTTCTTTCTCATAGATATTTAGGCCCAGGGCATCCACACCCAGCCTCAGCTCTGTTCCCTTCTTGTTCTTGATGTCAAAGTAGTTCACCCCATACATTTCCAGATCCTGAGCAATCTTCAGGTACTCAAGCATTGCGTCCTCTCTAAGAACAGTGAATAACCACTTTCAGTTTCTAATAGGCTGGTGAATGATGTGACCAAAATCTTTTAGCATAGTATATGTTTTTTTTTTAATTGTAATAATAGTATATCACAATGTAGTCATAACTAGGGTTTTACACATTATATAATATATTATATATTACATAATCATACGGTATAGCTTAGAATGACATAATCCAGTAAATTAAATACTAAAGGCACTTAATTTCACATAATTTAGTGTAAACTAGTGCTGTCAAACGATTAATCGCGATTAATCGCATCCAAAATAAAAGTTTTTGTTTACATAATATGCGTGTTTACTGTGTATATTTATTATGTATATATAAATACAAACACATGCATGCATATATTTAAGAAAAATGTGTTATGAATATATTAAATATATTTATATATAATATAAAATATAAGAATATGAATATATAAATGTATAAACGTAAATATTTTAAATTGAAATAAAATATAAATTAGATTTAACAACTTAATAAATAATGTCCATAAAACTAATTGAAATAAATTTTAGTTGAAGCACTTAAATGACTAAAAGTATAATAAAAGTTAAATACATATATAATAAATAATAATAAATAATTAAATGAATCAATAATAAATACAACTTAAACTAAAATTAAAATGAAAACTGAAAAAAATTAAACATTCAAAATATTAATGAATACTGAAAAAGTATATAAATAATACTAAAATAACCCCAAAATGATTATTTCCTTTTTATATGAAATTTGACTATAAATCAAGATAAAATTAGACATAAAACAGCTGATATAGGCACACCTGTGACTGCACTTCAGTTTAATTCTATGTTAATATGGAAAGTTGAGACTTTAGCAACCATAAACAACCTACAGTGACAAGTGACATTTATAATTGCATGGTATACGGTATATGTCAAACCACCAGGGCCTATAGACTGATATATCAAGCAAGTCAATTATTAGGCATCAGTCAATAAATGTGCTTGACTGACCAACTGACAGAAGTGTTAGTTTCTTATTTCTACAATCAACTGACATTTTAAAATCTACATTTAGCATTGAGGCCCATTCTCACACCAAGAACGATAACTATAAAGATCCTACAACAATAACTTTGAGAACGTCGTCAACTTACTTGAGCATTCCACGATGCTCCTCGTGCCACACCTGAATCCTCTCCTCCCACTGGTCCCGTGACAACTTGTGCTGGTCTAGAACCCTGCAATCAAACAACAGGAGGGACAAAGACTCATTTCCAAAGGTTCTAAACCTTTAACTGTTCTCCAAAACCAAATTCTGATGAGCAATGATGGCAGAATTCAAATCCTATACTTCCAGGAGCACATGCCCCAGTTAAGCCAATCCTGTGTGTCTCACCGTTGGGGCAGGAGGCGATCTGAGGTCAGGTATCCAGGCCTGTGCACTTCCTTGCTGAAATCACCAAATTTGGCCTGCACCGAATAGGAGCCCAGAAGCACCGCAGTCTCTGGAGGACAGTAGATTTCATCACTCAGAATGGCATCTTTCACTTGCATGAAGAACAGCTTTTGAGTGATATCCTGGATCAACTCATCCGCCACATCTTCTGGGAAGAACTTGGCACGGAATTTAAACTGGAGAGGGTTCTCCTTCTTCACATCCTGAGAGGAGACCTGAAAAAAAAAAAAAAAAAAAAAAGAGTGTTAGGATTTTATACTGAGCTTTTGCTGACTACTCATGAATGTTTTACTACTCCAAATATGTTTCAGCACATTTAGGCCACAGCCAAGGAGATATTTGTAGGATATAAATAAATATATATAACATTAAATGAATATTATGAATATACCATTATATAAATAAATGTGTTTATTTATTTATTCACCAGTCAGTCCTCTAATCTGGTGTGCATTTCCCAAAACCATCATTATTTAACAATGGTCGCAAGTTTCATTGAACTCCATTGGTAACGGATATACAACTTTGCAATATTTCACTTTCCGGACACGGTGCTTCTCTTTAGTTGACAACGTCTACTTCATAAGAGCTTCTTATTCCAATTTTGGGAAGATTGTTGCGTTAGGGTTAGGGTTAGGCTTAGGTTAGGTTAACCCTAACCATAACGCATGTTGCGTTCTCCCAGCTGAGCCTTTCTGAGACACTGAAAACATCAGACTGTGATCTGCTCATGTGTAAATGAACACAGTGCTGTGCTTCTCTCTGAAACATGCAGCACATAAATTAATTCAATTACATAACAGCTTTTGCGATTTGATGTTTGCACTAAGCCATATTGCAATTCCAAATTATTTCAATTAATCGTGCAGCCTGAATGGAGTGAAGTTGGGTTTTTTTCAAGTAACCGCGCATTCAGCCATAAACACCAAACCAATCAGTTTTGTCAAATATGGGTGTTTCAGGGTTAAACAAGTCTCTTCATTTCAAGCTCTGATCTGTGAAGTGTTTACAAGTGGAATTAACCCAAACAAGTTTCTTTTCCTGAAAATCTCCCTTTTTCTTTGACTGCACCTGATTTACGGTGGGTTAAAATCGTAGTTATGTTTATAGTTTATTAATATTTCACACCTTTTTAAAATAACAGTCCTTCTAGGACACATACAGTATAGTTCTGGCCATAGCTAGCTAGTAAAATCATAGGTCACATTAAATGTAACTTAAATCACATATCAATTTATTACGTACAATTCAAGTTCTATGTTCATAAATGTTTGTAGAACTGATCTAAGATTTCTCACTGCATGCACTGGTAAATATTACAAAAAAAAAAAGACAAATCTTGTATTCAGAAAATTTGACTAACAACGGGGGTTTGGGTTTTCTGTGTAGATTTATTACCATGTGGATGTAAATATAACCTCTTCATATTGTAAACCATATCAATTAGTAATTCAAATTAGTCCTCATGATGATAAAGTTCATAATAATTCTCAATGGTCCATTCCTGATATTCATTTTACAATTTAGATTAAAGTAAATATTAAAGGACCAAGCAGTGTTGCTGTGTTGCTCATGCTTGCATTTTGAAAGCTTCATCCTTATTCTAATAATCAATAAAACAATCAAACTACAAAAGTCAGACTAACACAATTGGGGAAAAAATATAATTCAATCTCACAAAAAGTAATTCATTTCCATGTATGAGGAAATCCGCTTTCCTCTGAAGTATATTGTATCAGCTGTACGAAGATAACGAGGAAACACACAATTGAAATGTTCAACCTACTGATTGTGTCACAGTCCAACAGGTGAAAGGCATGTATGAGTAATCTATGCTTGGGAATCTATATGTCATCAAAAATGTCAAATACTCAAATGTATTTATGAAAACACGGAGTACTTCCTTAAAGTACTGGACTGTAGTCAGGATAGAAAGCGAAAACCCTGACTAAAGTCTATTAAAACACATTCTGTAGAGAAAATCAGAATATAATTGTTGTGCTAAATGTACAATTACCTTTTTATCAAGTTTCAGCCATGTAAGGTACCCTTTGCTGTCCATATACTGTAGTCCGAAGTACCATATTTCACGTAACCCGATGGTCTTCACCACCTGTCAGGGGGAAAAAAATGACACCTTTTAGCACACAATAAATAGATGAATGAATTATTAAGCGGTTGCTGACTGCTTTGCGACTATTGTATACTTAGTGCTTTGAAATCCAACAGAGCACAGGGTTACATTTCCTTGAAAACAGAATAAAGGCCATATTTAAAGAATATACTGAATATATATATTTTGGTCTTCTTTCCATCACAAAGTACTGCAAGTCATTAGCTCATTCACACTCATTAGTTTTTGCAGGAGTGGAGGGTGATGAGCACCAGGAGCCCTGAAGGGAAAACTTCAGATTTCAATGGGTATACATGCACGTACACAATTTCCCAGAGGCTTTGTGCAAGATGGTATTTATTACTGTTTTGGCAAATGTTGCAGCTCTAATGCAGTGGCCGTTACCTGCTAGTCCAACAGGAGTTTAGAGCAACAGCCCGAGAGTATACAAACTTATTGAATTTTCAACATTTGCACCACTTTTCAAATGTTTTGGGTCAGTAATTATTATTATTATTTTTTGTTTTGTAAAGCTAACATACTGAGCTATGGTGGTCATGTCATCTTTACGTGATACTATGAAAAAATACATGTTTAAAATAAAACATGTACTGATCTAGTAAGTGTCACACATTCAGTATGCATAACCACCTAAATAAAAATACACACAGAACATGTGCCATCTGTAACCTTTTGAAACAAAAACTGCACTGCAGGAAATGTTAAGTGCAAATTTACTAATAGGTTTCATTTTCTCAGATGTCCTGTTTTTTTTTTTTCTTCTTCCACCAACACAAATACAGTTTTCCGGAGTTTGATTGTGATTGGCAGCAAAGAATTACCCCCAAAGCATTTGCATGTATGTGTGTCAATGACATGACAGACAATTAGTTTCCAAGTGCGATTCTGTTTATAAAGCACACAACCACACTCGCCTTTAAATGATTGTTGTCCTGAAAATTTACGGGAGTCCGGTCAGTAAAATGAGCTTGTCAGACTAGTAACCAACCAAACTGTACAAGACTGACAACAGTATTTTTCGTCTGTGTGAATGCAGCTGAAGAACACTTCAGTTAGGGGAAAAATTATGGTAGAAAATCTAAACAGAAATCTCATGACAAATGTTTTACAGATCTGCATTTGATAAAAACAACATTTCAACAATATTTTTCTTCAACCAATCAGATCTTCTATTGCACTTCGATTGCCTTTTATAACCATTCACAATCATACCATATTCCTGGAAAAAGAAAATAAAAATCCAAACAAGTTGACAAGGACATAACAAATGCTGTAAACCAGCTCAACAGGTTCTAAGCTCACTGACAAAGCTATTCGAGAAAGTGGGTTTAACCTAAGTAGAGTAATACCTAGAATTTATTTAAACTTTTTTTTTTCCATTAAAAAACAGCAATAACCAGCTTTAAAATAGGTGCGTTTCAACCCAATGAGAAGAAATGCAAGAGTCAACCAGACCCGGGTCACGGCACCGATTTCTGAATTTCAAGACTAAATTTAGGTAACATTATTTAAATTAAACACCCTGCTAAGATTTATTTAATAAGAACATAACATACTTATCCATAATGCTCTGGACTTTAAGAACTCTTTTTTTTTTGTATGCATCTCAGTCTGCCAGCATGGACAGTTGGACTGCCAGAGGCTTCAGTGCAAACCTCTCATCTATGCCATGTGCCATCCACAGTTCATGACTGGCTCATAGCACTTACTCTGAAGTGGAGACTGCTTCAGCTGTGGGTTCTGTTATGAATGGGAAAACTAGAGTGTGGTCATAGAGAAACAGCCCTTATTCACTGTTTCCACAGTCGTGGCAGTCAATGAGTACATCAGTGTAATGGTCAGTGAGTCATACGTCAAGGGATATGCTCTTTTAAAGAAGAAAAACCCTTCCTGTGAGGTTTTCGTGGTGTTCTGGGCCTTCTATTTGCAGGGGATTATCCCATGTCACCAAGCCGGTAATTAAATTAGGTCATAGGCATCGGTGCTACTGATGCCCAGTGAAGTCTGAGTTTGTTCTGTTAACTGTCCTTAACTGTTTGTTACCATTATTTTAAATACACATTTTTTATATAAATGTATATGTATAAAATGATCATTTAAAATACAATTTTTATTTAAAAATGATAACAATTCTTTCATTTTTTTATACATTTTATATTCAAATAATCCAATATAAGTTTAGATTTAAAAAAAATTTCCTCCTGCTCTTTTTTTTGTGCTTAACGTACGCTTTGCACTCCTGCTTTTGCTTGAGCAACAAGTATTTGACTAAGAAAACAAATGTAAATTTCTCTTTTATATTCTTGATTTACCTTTTAACATTTCTCTGAATAACCGTTTACAATCTTTTTCCTCTCTGCTTCAGCTGAGGGACATGGATTTGTTTAAGATCAAGAAATTGTCAGAGAATGAGAAGCCGTCATTGAGGGATTAAAATAATTGATCGCAGATGTCAGGTATACAGTACACTGTCTGTTACACAACCAGAACTGCTAAGAAATGAGTCCAATCAATTGTATCTTTTTCATGGAACCCATTCCCTTGAATCCATTTAGGTAAAGTGAATAGTAACCGTGAATAGAATTTGCAAACAAGTCTGCATTTTTGTGCATGCATCTCATTACACACCAGAGTCGGGGCGCATATCTCATCAACTGTGCTCTTAAAAAAAAAAATACTGAATATTTTCAGTGACTGATATTTCAGGTAATTTTTTTCTTGTATGTAATAATAAATACAATTTACGTGAAATGGCAGAAAACCTTAAAGGGGTCCTATTATGCTTTTTCACTTTTTTAACTTTAGTTACTCTGTAATGTTGCTGTTTGAGCATAAAAAAGATCTGCAAAGTTACAAAGCCCACTTCAAAAGGAGATATTTTATTTAACAGAAATTTTTCAAAATTTCACTTTTCAAAAACTACAACGGATGACTCGTTTGGACTACAACGCATATTTTCTGGGATTTGTGATATCACAAATATCGACGAATGGGACGAGACCTGGTTGAGCTGCACTAGAGAAGGCAACGAGTGTTATCACTATGTCGGAGACACGCTAGCTTTCCCAAGGCAGACGAACTTAGAGTGGTTACAATCATCCGGGTTTAAATCGCGCTCAAATTGATTTGATTTTGATGCAATATTTACACTGAAGCTCGCAGGCTTCTATGGTAAGGGGCATGACATTTCCCGACCAGGCGCTGAGTGGAGCAACACAACACACACTGGCCCAGCTAACCAATCACAACACACACTGGCCCAGCTAACCAATCACAGCACACACTGGCCCAGCTAACCAATCACAACACACACCACACACTGGCCCAGCTAACCAATCACAACACACACCACACACTGGCCCAGCTAACCAATCACAACACACACCACACACTGGCCCAGCTAACCAATCACAACACACACCACACACTGGCCCAGCTAACCAATCACAACACACACCGGCCCAGCAAACAAAATCAAGACTTTGTAAAAGAGCATAATATGACCCCTTTAAGAGTTTAAGCTAACTCTCTGAAAACTGTTTGTAAAGCATGTTTCAGTATTCATGCACATGATCCTAACCAATGCTTGTTAATTCATCTATTTCTTTTCTGGATGTTTAGTTGCAGACCTGGTCAAATAGCTGCTTGCCAGTTGTGCTGGGCTGAACGGCAAACTCCAGCTCCGCGTCCATCGAAGTGACGCGAACATTTACCTAAAGAGAGAGAGAAAAAAAAAAATTCACATTAGCAACCACTGTTGACATTTGTGCTGTTAAATAAAAAAAAAAAGCAGTTGAGAGCAAAATGGTCATCTATTACAAGATGGTTACAACTTTAGATTTTACGGTTTTCATTTTATAGAAGCAATTTCAGAAGCAAAGGAAAGAAAAAAAAAAATCTGCAATGGTGAGACGATCACAAGCACGCTGGCCAAAAACAAACAAACAAACATGTATATGTTGATAACTTTAGTCTGAATGTGTAGCAAGCTGATGACCCAGACTATCGTTCTTGAAGCAGACATGGCTTGAAAGAAACTGGGAAAACAGCAGGAGTGGCTTCACAGAACAATGTGCCTCAGCCACTATTTGTAAAGGGGAAATGCCAATCTATTCTACTGTTAATGTTTGACAGGACTAAGTCAACAAGAAAAAGGCTGAAACCGCTCTACAATCAAATTAGTACCATTTTATGGGACAACAAAGTGTCATTTTAAAGCACTTTCCCAAGAAATACCAAACGGAGGCGTTTCCTCACAATGAACAGACAACAAACTCACAGAATCAAGGAACAATAAATCATTTGTGAGAGCCAATTGAAAAGAAAGAAAAAAAAAAATCACATCTAGGTGAAAGTATTCATTTTAGTTCTCATCCAGGAAAAGACGACAGCAGTCTAAGAGGAGTTTCCAATAGACAAGAATTACCATTGTTGAGATCGTAAAGCACAATCATAAAGCACACATCTGATTCAGTGATCCATATTCATGTGATTACCATGTGAACTGTTAGCAATGATGGCGGCTGAACAAAAATAAGCGAAGAGACTACTGCTGCAGAATCACAGACACACCATACTGGGTGTGAGCAATGAGTGTGTTGTCTGGTAAGAAAGAATAACCATTTCTAATGATGCAACTGCTTTAAAAGAATTGCTCCACTATGAAATCTCATAACTATGTAAACAGAAACTCACACAAGTGTTCAGACCAAAGCAGTGCAGACAACACAGATTCCACCCTTTCAGCAATACAAAAGCAAAGGAATAGTTCATATCAAAATGACAATTCTGTCATCATTTACTCACACTCACGTTGTTTCACACTGTATGACTTTGTTTTCCATGGAGCACAAAAGGGGGAATTTTAAAGAATGTATGCTACTTGTCATTTTTTTCCAATATATAATATAAATATATATTATTTTTATGATAATTCAGCGGTGATTTTGTGTCATTTTTGAAGCTTCATAGCACCAGTCCACATTGAATAAAAAGTCCATGAAAAAACACCAGTATTTACTTTCTTTCATGGAATATGAAAAGAGAAAAGGTGTCATATGGTGAACGTTGTGTATTAATATTTTAATAATAAAAATACATACATTTTTCATTCATAAAAAATAATTAAAACATAATTTGAAAGTCAGTAATTGCTGTTATAATAATGTACATAATATAGAAAAATTATTTTAAAAAGTTATTTGCCTTTGTACATGGAATATGAAATGTGGGGCTGGTACTTTATTAATAATGTTTCTTTAAAAAGTACTAAAAAACTAAAACAAAAAAACGAATAAATAAATATATAAATAAACATAATAAAAAAATAAAAAAATTACTAAAGCTTTAACTAAAATTTAAAATGAAGACATATATACG